TGCTCTTGTTGCTGTTGATTAGGGTGTTGGTATGTGTATGTTTGTGTGTGCGCGTGCATGTGTGTTGACGGTAAGCTGATCATAATGCTAGACCCCTCCCTCCCAAATAAAAATAAGATACAACATTTGTTCTTGGAATAATTTAATTTCTGTCAACTACGAGGGACGTCCAGAAAGTAAACACCGTCTTAAATTAATCATAAAAGAAATAATTGTCCCAATCAAAACGATTTATTTTTGAATACCTCATATATATGACTACTTCTTCACGTAGTCACCTGAACTGTTGTGGCATTTTTCGTAGCATGGGACGAGCTTCTGAATGCCCTCATCGTAGAAAGCTGCCGCCTGCGATGTTAGCCAATGTCGAGTCTCTCCTGTGAGATCAGCGTCTGAGTCGAAGTCCTGCCTGGCCAAAAACTTTTTCAAATGCAGGAACAGATGAAAGTCACTCGGAACCAATCTGGGCTGTACGATGGGTGCTTCAACTGTTCCCATCCGAAGGAGACGATCAGGTTTTGGGTCTGTGCAGACTTGTGAGCAGTTGCATTGTCGTGAAGCAGAACAACGCCGTCGCTAAGCATTCCGCGTCTTGTGTTTTGAATCGCTCTTTGCAGTTCTTTAAGTGTGTTGCAGTACACATCAGAGTTAATATTTATTATTGTCATCCCATTTCCTAAACATTCTACTAAAAGAACTCCTTGCCTGTCCCAAAACACTGTAATTACTGTAGCAACAAAGACAACGATGTTTCTTAACCCTTTCCCTTCCCCTTCCAGCCATCTCCACGGCCGTTGCCTCGTTTGGGGGCACCATCATCGGAGGTTTCATCTCCTCGCGAGTCAAGAAACGCATGGGTTACGTGTGGATTATCTTCGTGACCTACATGTTTGGTGTTCTTATGGCTCCCTGCTACCTCATCTTTGGCTGCGAGAACCAGAAAGTGGTCGGGCTAGAGGGCGACTTGTGAGTCTCCTTGTTTGTGTTCTTTGTTTGTTTGTTTGTTTTGACGGTCGGTCAGCTAGATATTCAGTTATTCAGTTCGTCAGTCAGTTATTTAGTCTGTCAGTTAGTTTACTGGTTACTCATTTACTGGTTGGTTAATCAGCCAGTCAGTCAGTCAGTCAGTTATTCAGTGGAAAAGTACCACATCTTAAATAGGGAAATAAAGAAAAAATGCAACGACGCAAAAGAACATTGATAAATGATCAGTGTCAACAAATAGAGAAGAAACAAAACAAAGACAGCAACTACATGCATTTCAAAATCAAAGAAGTAAGTGGGATAAAAGGATACTCAAATACAGGATGCGTAAAATCAAAAGGAGGAGATATTTTATTGGACAAATGGGGTGTCTTAAACAGATGGTCAGAAAATAGAAAAACGTTTCAACGATAATAGAGGAGAAAAAACAGGTAATACAGAATGAAATAATAACTGGACGAAAGCAAAAGTATAAGCTGCTATTACGAAAATGAAACAAGGAAAATCCTCTGCTCTGGGCTAGATAATATTCCCGTTAAAGTGATTGTCGAGCTTGAAGAACTAGGCACTGAATTAACAACAAAGCTCTTAGATTCTATTTATGACAGCGGTGAGATCCCAGAAGGTAATACGATGAAGTCAGTTTTTGCAGCTGTACCTAAAACACAGGGTGCCACTTAGTGTGATATACGTAGAACAATTAGCCTTATGAGTCATTTTACAAAAAATAATATTGCTGCGAGTAATAATGGGAAGAATGAGAAAAAGTCTAAAACCAGAGATACCTATAACACAATTAGGCTTAGTTCCTGACAAGGACACCAGAAAAATAATACTATATTCACCTTAAAAATGTTAACAGAAAGATGTACTGAAGCACAGAAAGAGATGTATTTATGCTTCGTAGATTGTTCAAAGGCGCACGATAAAGTTAGACATAATAAGCTATTCAAAGTACAGGAAAAGCTAGACACAGATGGAAAAGGTCTAAGAATTGTCAGGACAATGTACTGGGGCTAAAACGCTGCTGTACGAATCAATGGAGAATACATGAATATAAGCGGATTAGAAAAGGAGGGATGCAAGGATGTGTTATGTCACCAGACCTCTTTAACATGTACAGTGAAACAATCCTTAGAAACATAGTAGAATGTCCAGGTCTAAAAGTAAATGGAGAAAATATAAATAACATCAGATAATATGCCGATGATATAGTTTTAATAGCAGTCTCAGAAAAGGAATTTCAATCGCAAGTAGATTCTTTGGCAACGGAACGTGAAGGTAAAGGATTATCGTTCAATGAAAAGAAAACAAAATGTATAGTAATATATAAAAAAGCAGCAAATCCTATTTGTAATCTCATTAGCAAAGGCGAAAAGATCAAACAAGTCCGACAGTTTAAATATCTAGGATATATTATAACATCTGATGCCAATGTTCTACAGAAAAAAACGGAGAATTGCAATGGCTAAGGCTAGTTTCAACAAAATGAGCCCAATCCTGAAAAATAGAAACATCTCAATGACTACCTAAATGAAAGTTTTGAAATGCTATGTATGGTCAACCCTACTATATGTTTGTGAATGCTGGACAATCACGAAAGACAATGAAAATAAAATAGGAGCCACAGAAATGTGTGTTCTTAGGAGACTACTAAGAATATCGTGAAAGGAAAAGAAATCAAATGAGGTAGTGTTCGGCAATGCCCACGTGGGACGCTCACTGTATAAAACAGAAACGACAAATTATGCAGTTTTGGGGACACCTGAATAGACATAAAGGTCTTGAACATCTAGCTCTCACCGGCAAAATTGAAGGCAAACGAGGCAGGGGTAGGCTCAGAATAACCTACTTAGTGAACCTAAACAAACGGGTAATGGGGAAAGGTCAGGTAAACGTAGCTTTTTTTTAGAGTATCTGAGCAAATGAAAGAATGGAGCACCATGTCTGTCGCAGATCTGGCACTGGATGGTGAAGATAAGAAAAGGGTTGTTTGCTTTACGTTTTTCTGTATTTGCTTCTTGCTGTTATTGTTTTTGTTGGGGGGTTTTTGGTTTTTTTTTGGGGGGGTTGTTTTTTTTTACATTGCCTGTTTTCAAAACTGTTATTTTTTCTCTGTGTGTGTGCCTTCTCCGTGCGTGTATCAGTGGCCTCCCGTACAACAGCAGCGCCTCCTGTGAGTGCCCGTCAGACGCCACGCCCCTCGTGTCGTGTGGTGAGGACGGCCTACAGTACCTCAGCCCGTGCTACGCCGGCTGTTCCGTGGAGGACGGCAAGGTCAGTGACCCCCCAGTCGCTCTTATTTAGAACC